GTGACTGAAATGCACTGCGTTTCCGAGCTGCTGTATTCTTGGTAATCTAGTAGCTGAACACAATTTTTTTTTTCTTCTTCTAATGCAACACTTGATGTGCTGCTTTAAGAACACGCAGCACATTGGCCTTAGCTGCCATGCAATGTTTGAATGACTTATACAAAAGCAACTAGACATGGCATAATATCTTTTCCTTATTTTCTGTCATAGTGTTACATTGGTGGAGACTCATTTTAAACACGGCCAATTTTTCAAAGGAGTTTAATCTATGTACAATTAATCCTAGTGAGTCAGATGCTTATGATTCACACTGCTCTACTCAGAGGAGACATCCTACTTTGGTCTTCTCAGGCACACAGCCCTGCCCCTCTTAAACTCGCGGTTTAAGAGGGGCAGCCAATCAAATGTTGACTTGAAGTGTACGAAGCTGTAGAGGTTGCTTCCCAAATATGAAATGAATAAGGATCATTTTGACCTGTGTATCATGCATAGCTAACGGTTCAAGAACAAAAGTGGACACACAAATGTGCGTTCACTCTCTGGTTATTGAGTTTGAAGTTTGAACCTGCTGAACTTCAGTGTGCACCAGCAGGCATGTCCATGTTTACTGTTTATAGTAATGCCCTACTGGAGCTAGCAAAAATATAGCTGACCGAGTGAAAAGCTTTTATAGGTGTTTCTACTTCTTTATGGAAACACATCTCAACCAGGGATCTTAAAAAGGGGCAAAGGGCGTGTCTGAGTTTTGTGCAAAGTTAGCAAATTCTACAAGAAAAGTGCTGTCAGCTTGACACAAACAGTATCAGATCTCCTTTATAGACCAAGGTCAGTGAATTCCCCATTTATCATTGGTCCTGTCCAGTATATGATACTGATAACCTGTGTGCCCTAGCTGATGTGTATTTAGAATCAAGTTTCCAAGTTCTTATTTGTAATCCAGAGGCCCTGTCTCAACACATGCATGTCAAATTTATTTTCATTCCTGTTCCCTCTGACTAACACTCTGCTGTGTAAGTCACAACTGTACAGCTTTGCCATTAGGACAACGTGCAGATATTTGGAGACTCCATCCAGGTGTGGCAGAATAAGTTGCGTTACTGGCAGAAGAGTGAAATAATTAATTCAGATGAATTGTTATCCTTGTAAATTAAATTCACATGTTCAGAAGTCTAAATTACCAATTAGTGATTTTTAATTGATGATTAAACTAGTTTTCAGGAACACGGGGGGAAAAACACATCGTTAGCTTCATAGCATAAGTGCCTAAGTCATTTTTTTGTGATGACATAGGCAGACGGACAGGATGATGCAGCAGTGGTAGGGGAGTAAAGTTAGGCAAAAATCTCAATTTGACCAAAAAATGACTTAGGCACTTATGCTATGAAGCTAACGACATTACATCAACACTGCATGAAAAGTCAACTGTGCTTGAGACGAGCTTTAAATGTGGTTATTTTATATATAGTTATAGAAATATATAGCTATAATTTCAGAAGAGGAGGAGACTCGGATTGTAAACAAACATGTTACTGTCTGTAAAGCCATTCAGGTGTTAGCAGCTGTCCTCCCTGCAATCCAGTCACTTAATACTAAAAACCAACTGACCAAGACTAACAGATTTCCTGCTTTACAGGACAGCTATAGTATTTTTGTCACTGGTGACTGGCACTTTTTCAGAAATGGCTCCAGGTAAAGCAGCGAAAATGTTCTCAATATAAAGTTAAACTCTCGTCGACGAAACTACCACTAGTTTAAGTCTTGGATGCCTTTGCATTTTGCTGACCATGTCGTAATAAGCTCTTTGTTCGTACAGGCAGCTTGTTTACGGCTCATAGGTATGGAGGAAAGGACTCTTAATGCTATTTACACAACAAGAGTGAATGCTCCCAGCTGGCATCTTGGAGTTTTGCAACAGAAAGGCTCAAGGCTTTAAGGAGAGCTTTTTCACTGTAGCGCTGTGTCATGCTAATGTCATGTTACTTAGTGAATGGCTTTAGTTTATAAGGGTATTGTCACCCAAAAAGCAGTCATTAAAGAGTATGCAAAGAGACTTTGAGGAATCACATCTGGTTACAAATAACTTGTGCTTGTTAGTCTCAAACGTTAACTTTTAGATTCTTGAAACTTTTCAAACAAAAAAAGTCTTGGATTAGTTTAAAAGTATCACATTGACTTCTGTTTTAACTGAGTAGAACGTGGTAGTTTTTACAGCATTCAGAGTTTCTGGCAATAACAGATGGTGGGAGCAGTGAAAGGATGTTGGACCAATCAGTTCTAACAGTTTTATCCTCTCGAGTAAAGCTGAAGAGAAAACATCTGCCTGGTGACAGGAAGCAGCAGCTTTATGTGAAGTGTGGTCATATTTTTGACAAAACAGTAGCAGAAGTGCTGCTTCTCTGCCATGCAGACTGCACCAAATGTAGGCCCAGCTCTGTGATAGGCACGTGAGCCAGTCCAGGATGCACCCCATGCTGTGATAGACCTCAGCAGGCTGTATGCTCAGACCTAGTTAGCCCGCAGTGAGAGGTGCTTCACTAAATCTGATGATTTGGAATGTCAGTTGCCTAATTTGATTATTTGTGTGGGCACGAGGAGTTTTACAGTGCCAAATATTTATTAAGAAGGAAAACTTGCTAATGCTTGTGTGCTACTTTACGTGAGTGGAAATAATGACACGTTTTATCCCCGATACCTGCCGAGCTCTATAATGAACCAATATGTGGGAGGGAGGAGTGGAGGAGGATAGAAATGGGGCGAAGGAGTTTGGGGGGGTGGGGAACTCTGTAGCGGCTGGCTGTTGGTTTTTGCAGCGCATAGAAGCAACAAGCAAACCTCCCCCAGTCCTCTCTATCTCCACTACACACACACACACACACACACACACACTTCAAGCATGCTCAGATCCACCTACCTCCATCCTCTCACTCACACTCACTCGCTTGTTACATTGGCCTCTAAGCTTCTCAGATTCCTAATTTTATCACACAAATAATGCCGAGTTCTTAGCAATAAGTTTCCCATACCCATTTTAATCTAGTTTTTTATACAGAGGGAAAGGGAAGCCCACAGGTAGCAGGTGGCTAATTCCCGTACCTTCAAACATCTGCCAGGACTGACTGGTTAGTTAGCCAGCTGAATGAGTTGCTGACTGAAAAGCTAACCACTGACTGACTGGTGTATGGGCAGGCTCTGTGGCCTGTTGGCTTGCTGTTTTCTGGCTGGCTGGATGGCAGCTGCTGCTGTTCAAACAGAGCTGCATCTGCTGGGTCCTTTGTTCTAACACACACACACACACACACACACACACACACACACACACACACACACAC